TCACCGCGTCCCCGCGCAAACGCACCTCGGAGAGAACTGGCAGAACAAAGGGCTAGGAAGCGATGGCATTGGAAACGCAGTCGCCGCGAATCGGATCGGAGTTCAGTGAACCATCGTAAGCTGACACCCGTCTCGGCTGCATTGGGGGGTGAGGGGTGGGGGGGGGATGAGACGGTGCTGGGAGTCGCAGTCCACTGCACTGGTTTGAAAACAATGGCCGTCACCTGATGACTGGTCCTCATGTTCTGGGGATGCAGTAGACGTGGGGGGGGGGGGGGGAAGAGCAAACAGGAAGTTGTTTGCGTACTGTGGGATACTGGGGATATTCGGATTTTTTCATTCACTTGATGGCCCATGACGTAAGTACCATATCGTTTTACTGCCTTGTACTGTCAAACCGAACTAGGTCAATTATTTTTTTCCTCTTCAAAAAATAAAAAGGAGCCGGAGTCGCCCCCTTTTTTGGCGGCTCCGGCTCCGGCTCCGGCTCCGGGCTATATTGTTTCACGGCTCCGGCTCCGGCTCCGGCTCCGGGCAAAATATGCCGGCTCCGGCGGCTCCGGCTCCGACTCCGGCTCCGGCTCCGCATCCCTGCTGGCAGTCGATTAAAAGGTGTTCAGTGCGCATAATTTGTATGCTGGCATGATTTTATTGCGTAATTTTTGTGACTCAAAATGTTCCAAACACCTTAACCACGAGTTATGTTGGCGCATATGGCTGGCTCGGGCCTCTTCCTAGTTCCTTCCTTGTTGACTTCACCTAAATCCAAGTGAATTACCTCACATAAATAAGTGATCGATATCTGCACAGGTGACTTATGATAGCACGTCTTTAGCATCAGGGTAGTTTGTGATCATTAAAGGATAATGCAAGGAAAGAGGTGGCTGATGATGAAATATGAAAAATGCTGAAATACTTAGAAAATGGCATACAAAAAACGTGAAGTCAAGCATAATAATGGCGTGAGTATGAAAGAGGGCAAGTTCATGGCGTATAACCGTAATAAACCTATGCATGTGAAAACACCACAACTACCTCTCGATATCCATTTATCCAATTTGTTTCACACTCCAATTTATTTGTTGTATGCTCGATCATAGCGACGTTAAAATTACCAGACAAACCCAGTGACGTCTCAGCCTAGCATCTCTATCAGCCCCTTCGTCGTAGGCAGGCACCGAACATTCAGCTAGACCTCTCTCAGATGGATTGGGTTCGCCAAAATAGACCACTATCGGCCCTTGAACTGAGTGCACAGGACAAGCGTCTGAATGGACGCCTGCGTAGTTTGCAATGCAAAGCAGACTGGCACCAAAATAGACCAGACTGTGCACGCAAGCGTAAAACAAAGTAGAAAACTTGGCACAGAATAGCTAAAATTAGTAGATGGGACAAAAGCAGAGAACGGCTTAAGTGGAGTACAATCATGAAAATAAGGGTAGCAGAATGGCTCGTCTTACGGACCACACCAAAATAGACGTAGAAATGGGGTCTGAAATAGAATGAAACAAGCCCCACGATGCTAAAGCCTCAAACCATTTTAGAGTGAGCCTAATTCAGGATTTTACAGGTACCTACCAGTCTTATTTTCAAAAGCACCAGCCACAAAAGCACCCTGGCTACTCCATCAGCCGGGTGGACCGACCTGACGGCCGAGGCTTTGGCGGCGTCGCCATCATCACCAAAGCGGACCTTACGCCTGTAGCACTGAAGCCACCAAGCTCGCAGTGCCCGGACAGTCTTCTGGAATCGCAGTGGGCATTGTTGAAATTACCAAAAAATCGCAATCTGATTGTCTGCTCGGTGTACCGACCGCCGCGTTATTCCGCGACCGCACTGCGTGCGGATTTTACAGACTTGGAAACCCAGCTTCAGCGTGTCCTTATCGACCACCCCAACGTCCCGTTTGTTATATGCGGCGATCTGAATTGTGACTTGTTAAAGAGCGCAAGCTCTCCCGCCCGTCAACACATCAGCGAGTTCCTGTCTGACTACTCCCTGGATCAACTCGTGACAACATCAACATTCACTACCGGTTCTCTCTTGGACGTGTGCATTGTACAAAACCGAAAATTTGTGCGTTCTTATAGCGTAGTCCATTGCCATTTCAGCCCACACAAACTCATCCACGTGACCGTCGACGTGCCTAAGCAGCGCCTAAAACCAACTGTCATCCAATCTAGATCACTTAACCAAGCGGACGTTCACTCTATCAACCAAGAGCTGCTGAGTGTCGATTGGCAGGAAGTTTATAACTCGACGTCTGTTGCTGACAAGTGGCAGGTCTTTTTAGACAACTTTCTACCTGTCTTCGACGACCATGCCCCCCTCAAAAATGTGCTGATAAGAAATCCTACAGCGCCCCCTGTATCTGCCGCCACCCGCGACATTATGTCCAGACGTCGCTCCGCGTTACGTCGGCTAGGCCGCGAGTCTCCCGAGTATAAGGCTCTTAACCGCTCCGTCCGTGCCGCCTTACGCCGAGACCGCCGTCACGTCCTCCAAAACGAGATCAGCGAGCGTGGGGTAAACAAAGTCTGGCAAAGCATCAAATCAGTGATCGCCGGAAAGAAAGATGGTCCAAATATTCAGCCCGATCTATCTCCCGACGATCTGAACTCCTTCTTCGTCTCTGTCGGGCCCCGCATTGCCGCCGAACTGAGTACCCAAAACAACGATACTGATCTAAATGTACGTCTACCCCGTGTCGGCGCATGCAGCTTTAGGCCGAGGGCCATCACTCTCGGGGAACTCGGACTCACAGTGTTCAACATGCGAAACTCTGCCGCGCGTGGCACTGACGGTATATGCATCCGCATGTTAAAAGTATGCTTCCAAACTATTGGCGACATCATTTTACACATCATCAACGTCTCAATAACCCGTTCCGACATTCCTGACCCCTGGAAACACTCTATCGTTCAACCGATCTTCAAGTCTGGCAACCCATCTGACCCCAGCAATTTCAGACCGATCTCCCTAGTTCCCGTAATCATGAAAATCATCGAGCGTGTAATCCATCAGCAGCTCTATCACTATCTCACCCATAACCACCTTCTTTCGTCTACCCAACACGGATTCCGCCCCCGACACTCCACTGAGACTGCGCTGCTGTCAGTCACAGATAGCATCCTTGCCGCCACCGATAGGGGTGAGATCTCAATGCTATGCCTCATAGACCTCAGCAAATGTTTTGACGTCATTGACCATGAACTCCTTGTCAAAAAGCTCCAAATCTACGGTATTGAGACCTCCTGGTTTTCCGCTTATCTTCAGGGACACACGCAGAGTGTATCCCTGAAAGACAAAACCGGCCGTAAGATAACCTCTCGACCGCTCCCAAACACCGTAGGAGTTTTCCAGGGTTCGGCTCTGGGTCCCCTCCTCTTCACTATATTCTCCAACGACCTCTCACTATTTGCCGGAGACGCCACCGCTTATCAGTACGCAGACGACACCCAGATATTGGTGAGCGGCCCACGCAACGACATCAGGAGTCTCATCTCGCGCATGGAGGCATCGCTAGAGTCACTTAACGCATGGTTCTGCGCACACGCCCTGAAAGTCAACGCTTCTAAAACTCAACTGATGGTATTCGGTAGCCGACAAAACCTACGTAACCTGCCTCGCTTCAAAATCTCTTTCCGTGACGCTGAGCTCCTGCCGTGCGCGCAGGTGGGAAACCTAGGTGTTGTATTCGACGGCGCACTCACCTGGGAAGCACACGTGGCCGAGCTGAGCCGTCGCTGCACGGGCGTACTGATCGGCCTCTCCCACGCACGACACTGCCTCCCAGACGGTATCCTCAAAACGATCGTGACTGCACTCGTCATCTCGCGCGTCCAGTACTGCCTCACTGTATATGGAAACGGCTCCCAGAAAAACTTCGACCGACTCCAAAAAATTCTAAACTTTGCAGCACGGGTCATATTCGGCCGCCGGAAATTCGATCACGTCTCTGGCCTCCGCGATTCACTCGGATGGATGCCTCCGAAAGCTATGGCCGATGTTAAAACCATGGTAACTGCGCAGAAAATAATAAGCAACGGCGAGCCCGAAGCACTAGCTGCCATCTTCACGAATAACAGTGACGCGCGAGAGAGATCCACACGACAGGACCACCTCTTCCACCTTCCACGCTCGCGGCTCGAGACTGGCAAGCGACGGTTCGCCTACCGGGCCGCGGCGCTACTCAACAGTCTGCCTCCCGGTGTCATCGAACAGCGCCCCGCCCAATTCGCCCGTGCGGCCAAGGCTGCAGTCTGTCCGGCGATGACGACCGCCCGACGATGACCCGTGTCAGGGGAAGGAGGTGCGACATCCGTGTGCGGTGTGCTGTCTTGAATCGTCCGTTTGTATATAGAGAGAGCGAATGTCCAGCGATTGAATTTGTATGCCTGTGTTTCTTGTCCCCGCATGTTTTTGTCTGTGCCCGACTCAGACTCTGGACTGTAATCGCCACGCCCCGCGTGGATTGTCCATGAAGGTAATACAATACAATACAAATAGGTTGGGTCGAGGCTAATGAGTCTCTAAATCACATTACTACAGCGTTCACTAAAGGACTTTAGAGTTCCTGATGATAAAATAAATATCAAAAATATCAAATATTATGAAAACTCCTACTCACAGTTGAAGGACTACTGAGTAGCAATTCATAATCACCTTACCATCAGTGGATTACTATTCCCAGAAATACCTACACTCCACCGTAAATTGGTTTTCCAGGAAAACGGGGTAAGTCATGAGGGGAGGGGAGATTACTTGCCAGCGTATCGAAGGGGGTATACCGTACAAATAGGTTGCAATAATCCATATCCATGTAACATGACAATGTGCGAATTGAGCAAACTAACCATTTACTAGATATACTAAATGTCGATCAATTAAAAATAACGTAATTGATAATGACGCGCACCTTCCTTTTCACTTTACTAGCCGTATAGACCATATGACGATCTATTCAAAGCTTCATTTAAAACAAAATACATTTAGCATACCTTTCTTGTCGACGCCATCATCCTGCGAGTCTGGGTCGCCGTCCCCTGCTCCGGGCACGACGATGGCGGGCAGCGTCCGCGAACGCACCAACTGAGGTCGTGAGGTGGCCGGCAGACCGGACTCGGTCACTTGACTGCGAACGAGAGGGGCAGGGATTAAAACGGGGGTAAATGTAGGGTTACAGCGGGGGTTAACGTAGGGGTTGAACAGGGGTAAACGTAGGGGTAAAACAGGGGTAAACGTAGGGGTTAAACAGGGGTAAGCGTAGGGGTTAAACAGGGGTAAATGTAGGGTTAAACAGGGGTAAAGGTAGGGTTACAACAGGGGTAAACGTAAGGGTTAAACTTGGGTTGATGTAGGCCAGAGGTGGGTCGACATAGGGACCAGACATCGGGTCAATATCGGGTCAAGTTTGGGCCAATATTGACACCAAATCTGGTTTAAACCGGAAACAGGCAGGGGTCAACATAAAGACTAGGGTGGCACTTAGCAATAGGGTGAATTTTATATCATCCGATTTTTATGCGTGCGGGTAGTTTTCTGGTTCCATTCCCGTAAAAAATAATGTGTGCAAAATGATTTTGAAAAATATTGATATTTAGGGGTCGCGAATTGAGGCCAAAGTTAACATTTTTGGGGAAAAATCCAACTTTTTGGAAACTACTTTAAACCTTTTTGGAATGACATATGTGGTCATTAAGCGTCATTTCTGACGTATTTTGACCTTTATTTGTTTAACAATTGTTTATCCCATCACTTCCGGCCGATCGTAGCCAGTCCAGGTCAGGCCAAGACGGGTCTGATCTGGGCTGTTTTACCCATGTCAGGCCTGTTTTGGCCTTCGACCGGTGCCTCCTCACAGTGGAGGTCATATCCTCTGAATAGTGTGAGGAGTGACCGGTCTCTCCTGTTCCAAAGGGAGGACGAGCCCTACGGTTCTATCGGTTCTTGAGACATGCTCCTTTTCTGTCAAAGAGAATGTTAAGAAGTTGGAGTCAGTCTATCGCCGGCGGGCGAAAGCAGAGGCGAGAGTGTGCATTGAGCTGCACTGGTTTATTGTGCTTTCGGGATGTTCTTCCGTGGGCGCTTCTTCCGACTCTAGTGCCAGTGCCAGCAACAGACTTACCTGGCCGCTGCGGCGCGCACACGGAGGGAACGTCTTTGACGATGGCGACCATGAGAGAAACGTCGTCTCACACTCCCAAGTGCATGTGGGCGAGCGGACGTCCCCAACAGTGAACTGGCCTCGACCGGGCCAAACTGCCCAACCGTAATGTGTGAAGAACACGTGAGCCTGTTATCAACTGCGGCATGGAACTTAGGATACGACTCCGGCTGAACCGCGAATCCTGAATCGCGAGAGAAGGAGCGTCGACCGATTCTAGGTACTGGTGATGGGGAGGGGGGAGGGATTGGGGTGGCCAAGCTCCTCGCCGTTCCCAACCTCCCCTCCATCCAAGCACAGGAGGCCATGCTCACAGCGCTGGGGGACCAAGAACTGGAGAAGCGGAACTGCGGCCTTTTGCTTCGACGCCACGACGGCGAACAGCATGCTGGTGAACGGTACTTTAGCCCTTATCGAGCAGAAGCTGGATCGGCCCGTCCTCCAGCTGGCCTGCCGGCACCACGTGTAAGAACTGGTCCTAGAGAAGGCCTTCTCCACCTGCCCTAGAATCTCGAGCGGCCTCTACATCCGGCTGTTTAAGAGGTTCAAAGGCGGGTGGGAGTTCATACTTCATTGACAGGATCACACTGATGGCGTTCGCCGTCGACGACCTTCCGGAGGGGGACGAGCTGCTGGTCGGCTTCCATCGCTTCCATCGCTGGACTATGCCTAGCTCCGGGAACTGGGGAGACTACCTATCGAAAACTTCTGGAGCTCTGCGTAATTGCTCTCGGTGGAGTTGTTCCAAGCACGGCATCCGTTTCTCCGCCTCAGAGTACTCCACTGAGTTAGGTGGATGGCAAAGACCATCCGCACTGTGGATGCCTTCCTCTTCAGGGAGCGGCTCCGGCTGACGGCGGCCGAGGCCCAGGTCATCAGACGCTGTGCGCTGTCCGTCGCCTGCAAGTTTGCTGCCGCCGCCGCCGCCTGGTTTGGGACTCTACTGCCACTGCGCCGGCTCTGGACCTGACCTTCGTGAACTCGTTCTGCACCTACCCCGACAAGGAGCTGTCGAAGGCGACAGTCCCGGTCTTCGGCCGTCACCTGTAGTACTTGAGCGATCGGCTGGTGACTCTGGAGCTCTTAGACCCCGACCCTCGGGCTCAATCAAGACATGGTGCGGGCAATAGACTTGTAGGAGAGGGAGGACGAGGACCCGCCCCATAAGTCCTTAGTGGACACTATGAACGCCGCTCTCGCGACCGAGACGTTGGCGAGCTTCCTCACACCATCGTTCAAAAAGCTCTCAAGGATCTACAACCTGGACGCGGGGCTAATAATCAATGACCAAGGCCACTGGGAGGACAGCAGCTACCAAACCGCAGCTCGTGTAGTCCGGGAGCTGCGGATGGTGAATGACTTCACCAGGCGCGGTATGGCGCTGATGTAGGACTGGCACTCATGAAAGACAAAGATTAGCGCCAGTTCTTCCTCCATGTCGTTTAAAAGATCACAGAAAACGCTAACCTGACACCCGAAGATCGACTGCAAATTGCTAACCAGGCTACACACGTGATCTGGGTGCCCGTTGCTCATGATACCCCTCCCTCCAATGAGGCGCCAATAATCTACTAAAGAGGAGGAACTAGAGTAGTGGAGTATATAGACGAGCGTTTTGGTGTGATCGAAACTGCATGAAATATCAATAAACAATATGAAAATTACTAAGAAATGCCTTATTATCATCCGATTACAGCGTAATAGGAAAGTCAGAAACGATTTTAATGATATTGAAATATGCTACCAAAATCTCAATTTTGACCTTGATTCGCGACCTCTAAACATCAATATTTTTCAATAAAAATTTGCATCCCTTATTTTTTACGGGAATGGAACCGGAAAACCACCCGCACGCATTAAAAATCAAAAATTGATTTTTAAGTGCCACCCTAATAAAGACAGCTTAGGATCAAATGGCAAATGGTAATCATTCACCGTAGACTGCCAATATTACTTAGCTGAAACGTGACACAGCTGTCAACCAATAGCCAACGGAAAAATATTGAAAAATTGACGCATACCTTGTTTAGAACAATGCAAAGTATGATAAGCCGTGTAGAACAACGAGCATACCACAACACGGATGCCCAAGTCAATGCGTCGTTTCGATTTATGAGAAATGATCCGATAGCTACCACACTACATGACGCGACTGGCGTAATGCATCGATGACGCCACTGGAAATTAATGTCAATGGACGGCGTCAATTTTCAGAATTAGATTCCAGCACTGATTTATAGTGGCATTGATTTTATAGTGCTCCGAAGAGCTAAAACTAATGTGCGCCAGTTATGCACATCTTCATTTGTCGCTTTATCAAGAATTATTCATTGAAAAGAATATGAGCATAAAACACGCTCGAAAACAATGAATCTAATTCATATCATTATATCGTCGGACGAAACTTCAGTGAGAAGACTTAGTAGCAGCATATAACCACGAATGGCTGTGCAACTATTGAACGTATTCAAGACCGATGTAACACTCGCACATCATTTGCCGTGAACAAGAGCCAATGCAGTCACGCGTTAAACGTCCGTTTCTGCCCCACGACTCACGAAATACAAACACGTTCAGCACCCTTTCTACAGAGACCGCCAATCAATGGTCTTCTCACCCGTGACATTGACCTTATCATCGACCCGCTAGCCCAGCTTTTGAGAGCCAACATCGCCCCATTACATTTCACAGTACGAGTCCGATTTCCGAAAGCCATCGACTTTTAGCCCCAACGACATATCCCTCAATGGAAAATGGACATCCAAGTTGTCCCGTCCTGCAAAGCTTAGCTTTATCATGGAGAAACGGCTAGAAGCAGCGCTGCATTCGTCTTGGAAAAGTCCTAAAAGCGCCCAAGTGACCTTTGACAAGGCGTGCGAAGTGAAAATTGGCCATCAGGACCGGGTTATCATGGCTGGAAACTCATATCAACTGGCTGTTAGTGCTCCGTTTATAGTGCGACATAAGTTGGTGATAGGCAGTTGGTCTGCGGAAAGCTTTCAACTGAATAGCATGCATGACTGATGCCATGCGTACTGGTACAGAAAGCAAATATAATTTAGGTCCGTCGTCTAATTGCAGCAATCATTCACATTTAAAGGGACCCTCCCACCTTAAAGGGACTATCCCACCTTCTAAAATGTTGTTAAAACCAGTTAAATTGTGCCCGACTTTATAGATTGGATGACCAGGAACACAGTTCTGGCATTTATTTTTCATAAAACATCTTAGGCTTCCCATATTCCAAACACAAACTTTCAAATATGTGACGTCACAGCCCAAAATTACCTACTTCCCCAGGCCACATTACTGTCATAAAGCTGATTCTTTTTACTCTGTAGGCACCACAACAAAGTTCAGACCAAGTTTTAAGCGATTTTTCAACGAACAAACCCATTTAAATCAGAATGACTAAACGAGGTGACGTCACACTAACGGTCGCTCCATGTTGAAGATAGGGCCTTGCACAAGGCCCATTTTCAAATGAAGGGAACGAATTTCTTCAACACCAAGAGGCCGCGGGGGTTGCAACCTAGATAGATAGTGGTTTCTGAACCTCGCCGCAAACTTGGCTATCTCAACTCAAACCCCATGTTAAAGGTGGGATAGTCCCTTTAACATTAGATTTGAGTTGAGATAGCCAAAATGGGGTCCCTGGCTCACAATTACCGGTTTCGGCACGCACTCACAACATCGAGAAATGCCTTAACCCGGCGGCCGCTGGGCCTCCGCGCCACCCGCCGGCCGCTGGGGGGGGGGGGGGGGGGCATATAGTTGCCCCCCCCCTTTACTTCTGCGGCGCTATCGTCGCAACGCGAAGAGATAGAGAAGCGAAACTTTGCACACATCTTCCTGAATAGCTAGCCGAAGTTGTGTCCAAATTTGGTGTCGATCCCATTTGAAATGACGTCACAGTGACGTCATAAGTGAAATTATAGATTTGCGACTCTCATATTCCTCACGATACA